TGCTAATGCTAACTGCTACTCCTTTGCACAACCAGATATATTTCCAGGTCGTCCTTGATTTTAATTTGTAAAAAATACCTTAATTCTGTTTTTTCATACCTAAAAATAGTAAACGTTCTAAACTATAATGTGTTAAAGAATAATAATGTTTTTCCTGAGAAAATGGATGCATTTAAGTCCTTTCTGTTTTATCACTCAATCTGTGCTGGAAATGGGATCCTACGCTAATTAACACCAGGACTCCCAGAATTCTGATCCTGCTATGACTCCCACTGGCTGTCGATTTGACGGCTGACATTTTTCTTCTTAGTTATGACAAACATCATATGAGGTTTTTTTTTTTTTTTGTATCGCTGATGCACCTGGCACTATTTTCTTTGCCTCGCCAAAGCCGGCTCTGAAGCGCATGTGGTTTGCACGCAACAGTTTCACCAGTTCTAGGATAAAATTTCTGCGTGAGACGGTGACGTCCAAACAGTTCCTGAACAAAACCAACATGTTTATAGATGCTATAGATTGTAAAAGACAGCCTCGGGCCACCTTAGAGCTTTTACAGAGAACTTTCTAATCATCCGATCCAGCACATCCACGCCAACCTTTGTGTAATCACACAAAGGTGAGACCCCAGGCTTTGGTTTGGCATTTGGGCCGCCGAGTGAACTGGCTGGGTTGTGGGCAGCGCTATCCAAGCTTTGAACAAAGGTTTCACTCCTGTTAGGTTGGCGATCATCCTTGGACTCGCTGTCAGAATCTGAGCCCCGTCCTACCCAGTCCTCCTCATCGGTCTCTCCATCCCCGCCCCAATCGTTGTCATCAATATTTTGAAGCATGTCTAAAGCCTGTTAGATTTTTTCTGAAAAAAGTTTTCCCTATCGGCCAAAGAGCTCTAGGTAGAATATTGGTTGCTATAGGCAACGGTATGGCCAATCAACTGCAGGGAGAATTTACAATGCAACTCGTAGAGCCGTCAAAACGCGGGCTGTGGGAGATTGAGATAAAATTAAACATATTTTATTTTATTTTATTAAAAAGCTACGTGTAACAGAAGGAAATATAGAAAGAGGAAAAGTCAGCATGAGCAACATATGATTAATGTAAATAAAGTTCTTTGCATTTAAAATCTCAGAACCGTCAAAATGTCCGAGTGTTAAGGGACTAAGCCTAGGATCCCATTTCCAGCACAGATCTAGTGATAAAACAGGATTTTAAGGCATTTATTTTCTCATAAAATACATGATTAATCTTTGAAACATTTTAGTTTAGTACATTTAATATTTTTAGGGAGGGAGAAATGTAATTTAGGTCTTTTTTTAAAAGTAAAATTTGGTGCGACCCGGATGTATATCCGGTTGTGCAAAGGAGCTGATGGTAGCGATCCGGTGGTGACAGGTTGTGAGCAAAGCCTTCTGTTGAAGCAGAGCTAAAGGCCGATTCCCCAGAACCCCAGAACGAGGAAATTCTTCTTCCAGATCAACCCTCCGACCGGCGGCACCTCTTGGCGCTGATTCTAAAGTGTGATTTGGCAGGCAGTT